ACCATAATTAAATTAGAAGTAGAGAAGAGAGCTTGAGTAATTTAAAGTCTTTGAATCACAGCCAGTCAGAAAACATAGGACGAAAGGCACCAAATAATTCAAATTATTATTTTTATAATTTATTTATTTGTTTTGTACCAAAAATAAATGAAGAGGAACATGTGAAATGTTTGCGGCAGTTTACTCGTATTCTATTATTTATTAAGAATATTATACTTTTATTCTGTACATAAGTGGTGCTTGTAAAGGCAAACTCAGCGGACCTTGCGCTCAAGGCTCTAGCCTAATTAACCTGTGGGTAAACCAGACCCTGCGTGTAACCATGGGTGCTGTAATCACCGCTTCTATAACCTTCTTTAAACTTTGCCCGATTTGACCGGATATAGTGATGAAAACAGCGTGTTTACCAACACTTGTAGTCATTATTATCATTACAGCCTATTAAAAGTTTACTACTGAGGAGGTCTACGCTCCTTATAGTATTTAAATATAATTACTTTTATGTAAGAGCTGTGGTAGTGCAGAGGCTCAGTACTCGCCTTAAATTTCGCAGTACGCGAGCATCCTACCCAGGTTCGGTTTGTTTCCCGCTGGCACCAATGAAATTATTAATCGCAATATTTTAAGTGCTGACTTATCACGTGCTCGGCGGTAAAGAAAAAAATAGAACAAGAAAACCTACATGTCATGAAATTAAAAACAATATTTCGAAGTTATGTTGTGAAGTCCACCAACACGCATTGGGGCAGCACGGTGGACATTTGTTTGCCCTAAGCCCTCAGAAATGAGAGCTTGGATGTCCCCATCCATTGGAAGTGAAATCTTCTTTAGAATCGTTATCATTTGAAACTAGATGAAACGAAAAAGTGACCTTAAAAAGCGACAAACATATACATCTACAGGATTTAGCCTGGAGGGAATGAGAATGAGATAGAATATTATATTAAATTGGTCGTGTTTAGGTCGTCTAGCATCTGTTTTACATACCACCTTGCGAGTCAATCAGTATTTGCTCAATAAAATGACTTTACATATAGAATGAAATAGATGGCGCTATTACAAAGCAAATTTACTCGGAAGAAAAAAATATTCTTTTGATACATTACATTAAAATTCAGGCTCCACATATCTAAAATAAGGATTGTAACATTTAACTGCTATAAAATTAAACTTTTATCTTATACTAAACGTTAAACGTTGTTTTGCCATATACATTATTTCTAAGAAATATTTATTAGTTTTAAAAATCGCGATTAAAAAATAGGCATTGATCGTAGAAGGTGAAAATTTTAAGTTTTATGTATTTTTTTGCTAAATCATAATAAAATAAAAATAATAAAAATTGTCAAAAAAATAAAAAAAATATTTAGGGGTGGGTCACCCTTATCATTTAAGGGAGGAGTTTGGTAACAAACACCGCGAAATGAGAATTTTATATATTATTAAGAATTTTATGCCGCACTTGTGGTTGAAAATTGTTATATTATTATATAAATCATTTGTCGTTAAAATCTTTATTTAATATTTAATGTCATTTGAAGGTTTCACTTCTGCCGCGTGTGAACTGCACACATTTTTCTGCCGACTTCCAAAAAGAGACGGTACTCAATACGACTGTTTTTTTTTATGTGTGTTACCTCATAACTCTTTACTGAGTGAACCGATTTAGATGATTCTTTTTTTATTTGAAAGCTGGTACTTCTAGTGTGGTCCCATATGAATATAATCAAGGTCAGACCAAAAGTTTTTGAGTTATTCTTAATAACTTATATTGAAGTCGCAATACAAAATTTTAAATTTTAAATCATTTACTTTATACAAACTTTTGTAAAACATAAGCTTTGTGACATGTGCTAGTATTGCACACACAAAACACATACATTTTTCATTGATTAGAATCAGATGTAGATGCGTTGTCACATCAAGGACAAAAATTTGATGCTCCGGTACTGTTAAAAGCAGTAATCGGTTACTCGTTACCACACGAAATTTTTTTTTAATAGGAGAGGAGGCAAACGAGCATGCGGCTCACCTGATGGTAAGTGACTACCGCCGCCCATGAACTGCAACACCACGGGAATTGCAGATGCGTTGCCGGCCTTTTAAAAAGGAGTAGGCTCTTTTCTTGAAGGTCCCTAAGTCGTGCAATATACCTTTATTACACGGTGATATTCTGTGCGATTGTGGTCTTTTCCCTGTGTCGAGTCGGTCTATTTCTTGCTGCTGCATTTTTTACCACGACTAAAATATAATTATACTTTTCACATGACTTTGTATGTACTCGTAGGCACAAAGTAAATGTGTAGTTGTATCTTCATTTGAAACACAAATATTATTTACGAGTTACGGGAAGTATTCATGTATTCAAATAGACGCCATTCAATAGAATTGTTTATTGTTGAAATAACAGTATTTTTAATAAATTGTCAACGTTGAGAAAAGTAGATAAACAAGATGGCACTTTTTTGTTTATTTATGATTCCGCTGTCATGTTATATATGGAATATTTACATATATAATCACGCCTCTTTCCCGTAGGCGTAGGCAGAGACCACTTCTTTCCACTTGCTACGATCCTTACATACTTGTTTTGCTTCGTCCACTTTCATTATTCCCTTCATACATGCTCTACGGTTTAGGGTACTCTTGACCTGGCCTTTTTTCACTATGTCCCTGATTTGGTCTAGAAATGTCCGCCTAGGTCTACCCCTTCCAACACTTTCATTCACACTCGTCTTATACACTTTTTTCGTCAATCGTTCTTCATTCATTCTCTCGACATGGCCAAACCATCTCAGCATACCTTTCTCAATTTTTGTCACTACATCTTCTTTCAGACCACAACGTTTCCTTATCTCACTATTTCTTATCCTGTCACTCAGTTTAACTCCTATCATACTTCTTAATGCTCTCATCTCAACTGTATTTATTCTGCTTTCATGTTTCTTCTGCCATACCCAAGTTTCACTTCCGTACATGAGTGTCGGAACCAACACCCCCTCATGCACAGCCAAACGAGCCTTGTTAGACACCTTCCGACTGCTCATAAAGGAGTGTAAAGCTCCATTCACCATGTTTCCTGCGTTCACTCTTCTTTCGATATCACTCTCACACTTTCCATCTCTTGTAAACTTTGAACCCAGATACACAAACTCATATGCAATATTTATAACTTTTTTTTTTATAAAAATATAGATATTACAATATATTTATAAAATATGGTAGCGGATTTCCTTCTATTTTTCTGCCGACTTCCAAAAAGGAGACGGTACTCAATTCGACTGTTTTTTTTATGTGTGTTACCTCATAACTCTTTACTGAGTGAACCGATTTAGATGATTCTTTTTTTATATGAAAGCTGATACTTCTAGTGTGGTCCCATATGAATTTGATCAAGGTCAGGCCAATAGTTTTTGAGTTATTTGAGTTGTTCTTAATAACTTATATTGAAGTCGGCTGTACAAAATTTTTAATTTTAAATTATTATAACTTGTCTTACATTTAATATAAGTATGGAGTTCTCGAATAAATTACATAAAAAATAGTTATTATGGTAAATTCTTGCCACTTAGCTTTCTCAATTTTAAAATAAATGAAAAGTAAAAAAATATTTTAAAAACAAGCTTAAAATTCACATAAAAGAAAAATAATAACCAATGAGTTTTTAAAATCCATAATGTTGTGTAAATCCCAAACCAACAAAAGGGTTGAATATCTCTAGTGTTCTCTAGAAATGTCAGCAAAAATATGATAAGTAGGCACGTACTATCTACAAATAGTATGATTATGTTCTTATGTGACCTAAAAGCTCATCGCGCAATTTCCTTAACCTACCCCTAAAAATAAACGTCGCGACATTTACCTTTTTAGTCAGAAATATTTCTCAATCAATCTATTTCAAGTAACGCATGATTTTGCAAGGTCTCTTGCCGGTTAATTTTGTGCAATACAGTTTATCAATTTGTAGAACCTACTAAAAGCTACATACGCTTGTCTGGCAGGGAAAAGTTTTGAACCCAATTAAACCAGGGTATGGTCAACAGTACTCCCCTGCATCGTATGTTCTGTGAATCCCAGCATAATACATTGGGCAACATTCTTCATTTCGCAGTGCTGTGGCTGTATTTGGCCTGAAACTGCACAGATCTGTGCTATAACGTGAATAGAATACCATCGTTACTAAAATTTATTCGAACTGATAGGTATAATATCACTTCGTACATTTGTACTCACTGAAAGCAGGGTCATAAAATTACACAAATTAAAGCTTACAAAACATTTATATTCAAACGCAACATGACTTTGGTTCTGCTCTCACAGAATACCAGCGTAAAATGGCAGCTTAACACTGTTGTGTTTCGTATGGTGAACGTAGATAACCGGAGACCCTTTTTACTGGAAAAGAACCATTCTATCTTAGTCCTCACGGCTGACAATGCATCTGCATTTTAATTCGCAAACGAAGATAGATGTAGATGTCTATGGGTCACAGCAACCACCTACCATCAGGTGGACTGTGTGCTCGTTTGTCACCCTATTCTATAAAAAAAATACAGTTTGTAATGTAATTTGTTGAGCTGGTAGGACCCTTTCTGCGAGTAGGTGTCTATTTGGGTAGGTTTTTATCTATTTCTGTCGCCGCCAAGTAGCAGGATCTGTATTGCTGTGGTTCGGTCTATAGGATATAGAAGCCAGTATAATTCAAGCTGTGAGACATATCATTTTAGCTCTCTGAGCTGATAACGTGTTTCTCTTTTTCTTGTTTGAAACTGGCTACAGGTGTTCATAGACTGCAAGGTTATGGTTATGCTACAGGCAGAAAATGATTATCATTATAAACGAAATAATTCTTTATTATTCCATACAACCTAGTACATTAATTTAGCTCTCATTTATTTCTAAGTTCAAATTAAAACAATATAAAACTATTTACACTTAGTTAACACATTACATAGCTTAGTTATTTATTCAACAAATCAGTGTAGTCGCGGCTAAGTCTGTTATCTTGCTTCCCCGTCTGACAGCGCTTCGAATATGTGCTTATACCAGAACTCTACGGTCTTGCCCCACGCGTCAAGAGTTGAAGAGTCCAGATTGAGCACCTCGATGAACATCTTCACTATAACGTCTTTTAAACTCTGTCAATAAAAATATTTATAATAGTAAATATTTCAATGTAAAACACGATTTAGGATGCTATTTTCGAAGCCTCGAAGGACCAAAAAACTTAAAATCTTTTAAAAATACTTCAAGATAATGTGGAAATTATTATTTTGTGGCGATGATATGATCAGTAATGCATTGCATAAATTAAATAAATTAGGTCGAATGTTATACAATGAAATATTAATTGTCGTTTCATAGTATTTCATGCATAGATATTGTGTGAGGAATTTTTTTACGAGTACCTATATTGGATGATCGCACTAATTTCTGATATGACTATTAAAATTATATATGATCGAGAGAACATTAAAAATTTATTCTATACCATTCGTATACAACGAAAATAGCTTTTATTTATAGACTCCTAGACATCTACATTTATCCACAATCAAGAACCAAAATGCAGAATTGTTGTCAACTCTGAGGACTACGGTAGAATGCCCTGTTTCCAGTAAAAAGGGTCTCGGGTTCTCTAGAATCACCTAACGAAACACAGCAGCATATAAGATTTTGCTCTCCGTTTCTTTTTGAATATTTTAGGTCTCTCAAATTCCTTTTAGGTGGCTGTTTAACCATTTGTTGGACGCCAGTAAAAAAAAAAATCCAGAAAAACTTTAAATAATTGGAAATGTTAACAATTGTATTATTTCTGCAGTAATATAAACTAACTTTTACTTTTGCGTAGGTATTATGTTTTCGCCAAGATGTATACTACCTTTATTCTATCTTCGACTTAGATAAATTTACCCTCATATATATTTAGGGTATAATATGAAGTCTCATCTCCAAGGGAGCATATCTCATTTCAATGGAATGGGCTGTCTTTATATCGGGATTCTTTTGTCAGCTGTTGACGAATTGCTAAATTGCAAAAATTGGATTACGTTTTTTATAAATAGCCAATTTCGTAACTCTGTAAAGATAAGAAGTTGATCGCTCCACTGTACACAAATATGAAAATAGTACTTTCGTCAATCAAATACAAATCTTCGAATACTTGAAATATTCCGACATTAACACTATTATAATCAACTAAAATAAACTCATTTAAAATACTTTTTTTATTGTTATATTACACAATTTTTAATTTTATAAACTCACATAGTCTTAGTAGTATAATTGTAGCAAGAATGGGTCAACTCGACCGGGGAAGGACCACGCTCTCACTGAATACCAGCGTAAAATAACAGCTTAACGCTGTTGTATTCCGTATGGTGAGTGTAGAGAACCGGAGACCCTTCTTACTGGAAACGAGGCATTCCATCTTAGTCCTCAAGTCCTCTTAGTGACAACTGCATTTTGATTCGTAATCGAGGATAGATGTAGATGTCTATTATGGGCCACAGCACCCACTTACCATTAAGTGGGCTGTGTGCTCGTTTGTCACCCTTATCCTATAAAAAAATGATGGTGTTGATATGAAGGATGATGAAAAAATTTAATTATGCTCAGTTATGTACATACATAGAAATGTTGCCTTTGAATTTTTCTTTTGTGATGAGATTCTCCCAGCTTGAGCATCATCTCTACCACAATTTCGGGCTGATTGAGATTGTTGACGGCGAGGTTAAGTGAAGACATAAGGTTGATAACGTGCGCTTTGAATTGGAAATTCTTGTCAAACTCTTCCTCGGGCAGTTTCCTCACCATTTTGAAGAATTCTTTCGTTTCTGGATACGCGCGAAATAACCTGAATGAAATGAAAGAGTTTAAATCTTGTTTTCAGGCAAAGTTAGTGAAATGATAGGTACTTGCTTTTTTCAGGTGGATTTGTGTGCTCGTCACCCTTATTCTTAAAAAAAATATAGATTTCCTATTAATAAAAACAAATAAAAACATCTACATAGGTATGTCTATGAAATGAAAGAGCTTAATAGTACGCATTATTTGGTACTTTCGAGTCGGAGAATTTTTTTTTCTGTGGTTGATGACTTTTACGACGTTTGTGATGCTTACGGCAATACGCATGCGTTAGATATGTGGAAACTAGAAAATGATTTTACAATAATAATAATATGAAATGATTTGAAGAATCTAATAATCTAATATATAAAATTATCGTGTCGCGGTGTTTGTTACCAAACTCCTCCGAAACGGCTGAACCGATTTGTATGAATATATTTTGTGTTCATATCGGGTATAGGTCTGAGAATCGGCCAACGTATATTTTTCAAACCCCTAAATAATAAAGGTAACCCACCCATAAATATTTTTTTTTATTTTCTTGTCAAAAATTTTAATTTTAATTTTATTATGATTTAGCATCGAAAAATACATAAAACTTAAAATTTTCACTCTTCTACGATCAAATCCTGTTTCTAATCGCGATTTCTAAAACTAAAAAATATTTCCTAGAAATAATGTATATGGCAAAACAACGTTTGCCGGGTCAGCTATTATTACATCATAATAATGTAAATTAAGCTAAGTAACTACATATATATATTTAAAAACTAACTTTCCATCAACAAACTCTAAAAACTAATAGTGTTAAGAGTTAATCGCCTTCCAAGATAGAATATTTTTGTAACATAAAATTTTGTGTCTTTTATAAATTAAAAATCTTTCAAAATGTGCGCTTCTATTCCTGGATCTGGATGAAAATGTAATCGCGTTTATGATGTTCGTAGCGGTATCAGACAGTAAGTTTTAAACATTATTCCGAAATATTTAAATGTGCACAAAAACATCATAATTGTGATTTTTTTCTAGAAATAGATAATAAAAATAATATATATTGAGAGGTAGAGACAAATTATTGCTATATCTTTGACTATTAATTCTGTTAGATATAAAGGATCACTATCGCATAAAAATTCACAAGGCGCATGTACATAATTGGAGTACAAACTACTAGTATGCCGACACTATTAAAGTTGTAACATCGCACGTCGGTTTAATAGCAAAAGACAATTACACAAAGGAGACAAACTTAGTTATAATTACTTTGCTCTTAGATACCTTACTCTATACCCAAGGGATGGGATTTAGAAGTGGAGTCTCTTTAGTGACAGTAGCAAAAGCAAGTAAACAGAAGACGTAAGTTCGTATTATAATAATAAAGATAATATAGTGTTGTCCTACACATTTATACGTGGTAGAGCCATGCTGCAGCTATATTATGGTTGTAGCACGAATGGGTCGGCTCGACCGGGGAAGGACTACGCTCTCACAGAAAACCAGCGTAAAATAGCAGCTTAACGCTGCTGTGTTTCGTATGGTGAGTGTAGAGAACCGGAGACCCTTTTTACTGGCAAAGAGGCATTCCATCTTAGTACTCACGGGTGACAACGCATCTGTCTTTATTGAGGATAGATGTAGATGGGTCACAGTATCCACTTACCATCAGGTGGACTGTGTGATCGTTTCTCACCAGATCCTAAAAAAAAAAACATTTACATTTACTGCACTATTTTGTACTCTTACAAAAATAGTATATAAGGTAAAACTAAAATGTGTTTCTTTCTTGAACTCACGAACAGATTTATACACATCTGTTACTGAGTTACTATCATTAGCATCATTACAACCCTTCACAAATCCACTACTGAACATAGGCCTCCCCTGAGGAATGTAACAAAGCACGGTCCTGCACCTTGCATCCATCGACTTCCTGCATGTCTTATCAGGTCGTCATTCCATCTAGTGGGGGGGGGGGGGGGGCTCCACTCGAGAACCTCTCTTGCCCATCGGTTGTCGGTTCTTCGAGCTCAATGGCCTGCCCATTGCGACTTCAGCTTACTAATCCGTTGGGCTATGTTTGTTACTCCAGTTCTACTGCGGATGTCCTCATTTCTAAGTTTATCACGCAGAAAACAGCCCGAAAAAAGCGCTCAGTTACTATATTTTTCCTAATTATTTTGTCTCTCAACTTTGTCACTACGTAGCAATAAATAATTACCGTTTCAATAATTCAATTCCGTTCCCCACTGAGTCTTTGTAGACGAGTGCCCATGACTTCTGCACTGCATAGACTTCTCTTCGTGTCAGCCCCGACACTGGGTTCACTTTGTCGGGATTGCCGCCCCACCAGAGATAGCTCAGCCAACCGCCCATTCTGTTCAGCGACCAGCCCTTTGCTGCAACTTGTTATTCTGAAACACTAAGATATAAGAAATGTTAATGAAAATATAAAGTTAAAACGATAACATTATAATATATTTCGATTAAAAATTTATTATGATGACCGATTTAGAACGAAAACGGAGCTCTATTATCTTCAAAAAACATTCGATTCTCACAATTGAAACGATACATTCTTGTAGGAAATGCTACGGTAGTCTGGTATTTTAAAAATCTCTTTAAAAAATTTAAGGTGATGACATTTATTTTTTAATTACTTAATTTACGATTTTACATACATAAACATTGTAAATATTTTTTTTTGGTTGAAACCAATCCTGTCAGAGTCGAGCACAGGCGCAGAGTAGCCAGCCTCTCGGTATTCTATAGGATGCATTTCGGTGAGTGTGCGCAGGAATTACATGCTTTAACTCCACCCTCTCCTTTCCACCATTGAACAATCAGGCGATCACCGGGTCACCCATTTTTACTGTCGATATTCCACGCATTAGAACTAAACAGTTTGCTTTATCTTTTATAATGCGTACAGCAAAGGAGTGGAATAATTTTCCGGCTTCTATCTTTCCGTCCGAATACAATCTGGGCGTCTACAAGGCAAGAGTTCAAGGCTTTTGTTACGCTAAGACAGTGAGATTTAGCATCTAAGGCTACATCACCACTTACCATCAGGTGGGATTGTGCTCAAGCACTGGCTTTTATAATAAGTAAAAAAAAATCATACCTTCTGTTTAGACTTGACTCGTTTCAAAACTAAAATTGCTGACAGTAATATAAATATCGAAGAAAGATAAATGAACAAGAGCATTATTGTTCACACACTTTTCTCAGTAGTAAACTGCGGTAAACCAAGGTTTACCACCATATTATAGTTATAGTTACATCACGAGTGTTGTGGAATTTATCTCTAGGACAAAGAAATTATTTGTCTCACAAGACAAAGATAAATATGGCAACAGTCAGCTGACATGATTACTCAGATAAATATATAGAAATCACATTGTGACTGCTCTTGAAAAGTTAATATTTGATATCATTTGTTTGTTCTGCATATTAACTTTGGCTTGCTATAAAATAAAGTAACTTATTATGGGGTTTTAATAAGAAAGTTTGACTTAATATTAAAAATATTCGCGTGAGCTTCCGTATTTCTTACAGTAGTATTGACCCCATTGCACAAAAAAGGTTCAAGAATATGTGGGTATTACCGCACGGTAGCTCTGATATCTCATCCGAAAAAGATAATGCTGTATGTACTGAATAGTAGATTACAATTCTATTTATAGTGGCAAATACCCAGTGAACTGGAGGATTTGTTAAAGGACGGGGCACAAGAGAATAGATCGTGAACGTGAGGCAAATAATTGAGAAAAGCCGAGAGCTCAATACACTTGTGTTAATGTGCTTCATTGACTACTCTAAAGCATTTGACTGCGTAAGATAGGACTATATATGGGATATACTCTGGGAAATGGGCGACCTCAACATCTTATAGTATTGATTGCAAATCTGTAGCAAGAAGGCAAATCCACGGTTGGAGTCAATGACCTCATCTCTGGACCATTCAAGCTGGAAAAGAGACTAAGACAGGTATGTGTCCTATCTCCTATCCTGTTTAACATCGAAGGGGAAAACACAATTAGAAGGGCCCTATAAGGATGGGAGCGAGGAATTTCAATCAGGGGTGGTAAGATCAGCAACCTAACATATGCTGACAACACCACACTTTTTGCATCATCGAAAAAAGAACTCGCTCAACTATTTCGCAGATTAGAGGTGTAGAGTGAACTGGTTGGACTTAGTATTAACAAGTCCAAAACAAAAGTTATGCTGATCGACAGAACCAGTCATCTCTCTAGGACTGGAAAACTTGCGTACCTTGATTTTGTGAGTGAGTTTGTGTACCTTGAATCGCTACTTTCGGACAGAGGAGAAAGTGAACATGACATTAGAAGACGAATCCAAATAGCCAAAGGTGCAATGGGTAAATTAACGAGAATTTGGCAAAACAGGAAGATCTCTAATGTCACCAAAAAGAGACTCTTCTGAACTATAGTGTTCTCCATCTTTAATGACTCTGAAGCATGGACAATTCGAGCAGCAAACAGAAAAAGGATTGATTCGTTCGAAATGTGGTGTTGGAGAAGGATGCTTCGGATACTGTGGACCACGGAGAGGACCAACAAGTCAATACTGGGGCAGCTTAGTGTTGACACTCTCTACTACGTGTTACATTAGATTTCTAGTGACTTTGGTCACGTTGCCCGAAGCCCGCCTATTAACTCGGATAGATTTACAGTCGTAGGCAAGGTCGGGAGCAAAGGACCACGCGGCAGATCATCTAGCCGCTGATCAGACCAGGTCAAATCACTCACTGGCCTTCCACTTATGACCGCAATGCGAAAGACCGAGGACCGGACAGAGGAAGACTGTAGTTACCAGCGCTACAAATCAATAAACTACCGACATCATCTTCATTAATGAAGGACACGGCGAAGAAGAATAAGCTAATAATATTTATTCCTCTCATGTTCTGGAATTTCGATTTCCTACGATGTCGACTTACCATCAGCACAGATTTGATACAGTTACCCATCAGGTGGACAGCGTGTTCGAAAAAATAACTAAACTTTTAAAAAGACTTTACTTCAATAATAACTTAATTAATAAAAAAATATTTTAGTAATAAAGTTAAACGTTCGTATGCTATTCAACAATCAATGTTTTTCAATTAAAGTAAGGAAATAGCCGCCACAATGAAATGCCGCCGTGTTTCAATAGTCACGTTTATTTCCTATTGTCAGTTCTTGAACTCTTCGCTGTTTTATTTCGTTCTCTTATTACTGCATAGCTATTTGAAAATATCTTTTGATTATTATCGTATCGTAATAATAAAATCTCATTATCTTTATATTTATTTTATACGTGGTAGAGCCATGCTGCAGCTATATTAGTAGTATAGTTGTAGCACAAATGGGTCGGCTCGACCGGGGCAGTACCACGCTCTCACAGAGAAACAGCGTAAAATAGCAGCTTAACGCTGCAGTGTTTCGTATGGTGGGTGTAGAGAACCGGAGACCCTGTTTACTGGAAACGAGGCATTCCATCTTAGTCCTCACGGGTTGCAACGCATCTGCATCTTGATTCTTTATTGAGATGTCTATGGGTCACAGTAAACACTCACCATCAGGTGGACTGTGTGCTCGTTTGTAACCCTATCCTATATAAAAAAAATCTTTATATATTTAAAAATAGTGATTTTCAATTATCATCTAATTTGTTAGAATTTATAGGGAACCATGGTGAAAGCCAAATTTATATAAAACAGCAAATTCAGTTAACTTAAGTTTAAAATATATTTAAGCTGCTATTTTACGCTGATATTCTGTGAGAGTGTGGTCCCTCTTCGGTCGAGCAAACCCATTCGAGTTGCAACTATACAACAGCAACGTGACTCAAAATGCTGTCCGTGTCCTGGCTTGTTTCTCTCTACCGCCTCTTACGACACCCATGGAACGATATGGAGAAGTGGATATTACACCGCTACTACACGGCTAAAATATTTACATTGCTTCTTAAAAATACGTTTCTTAAAACGGTGCCAGAAGGCAGAAAAGTAAAAATTGACAGTTTTTATTTTAAGGGCAAGCTAATAATTCACCGCAGCGTTCTATACAGGTAAGGATGAAACGTAAGTAAATATATAATAATAAAAATAACAATGAAGATTAAAAGTGAATTACATATGCAACGCAAGCACGCTGCAACAACAAGAATACTCAATGAAATCATAAAACTTAATCTAGGATTTATTCGTACTCAAGTTCCTGTGCGACTCAACGAATCAAGAAGATATTGTCAGATGAAACTTGAAGACTATCTATTTTTTTAGAATAAGAGTGACAAATAAGCACACAGTTCACTTGATTAAGTGTCAATCAAAATGCAGATGCGTTGTCACCCCCGTGGACTAAGATGGAATGCCTCGTTTCCAGTAATAAAGGTCTCCCGTTATCTACTCACCATATGCAACACAGCAGCAATAAGCTACTATATTACGTTTGTATTCTGTGAGAGCGTGGTCCTTCCACGGTCAAGCTGACCCATTTGTCCTACAACCATAATATAGATGCAGTATGGTTCTTACACGTAACAAATGTATCGATTATAAAATAGTAATAAGCGATTATAAAAACATTATAAAAAGTAAAGTAAAGTTGCAGACTATGTACGTCCCACTGCTGGGCACAAGCCTCCTCTCATTTCTGAGAGGGTTTTCAGGGTAAGGTAATGTCCGCCGCGCTGTCCCAATGCTTGTTGGCGAACTTTACATGTCTTCGAGATATATTTTGTTTTATTTCTCAGACATGCAGGTTTCCTCACTATGTTTTCATTCACCGTCGAGCACTTGGTAAATCAGCACTTAAAATTGCAATTAACAAATTGATTGGTGCCGGCGGGGATCGGACCCCGGTTGCTCGCGTACTGTGAAACTTACAGCGAGCGCTAACCATTTGAGCTACCACGTCTGTAATTATTTATATATAACTGAGATCAAATTGTTAATTATAGGAAACTTAAAATCAAAAATGCTTTTGTTAGCTTTTAGCTTAGGATAATTTGAAATATTGCGATTTAAAAAAAAATATTTCAATAACACCTTTTCTAGGTTATTTATTCCTGAACATAATTGAAATCGTACGAGAAGACTAAATGGACAGGTCTCGATCCGCACTTGACCGATTTTTCAGACAGTTCAAAGTAGGAGGTAAAGATAAAATAATTATTATGATATGAATGTAAACAACTGCGTTGGCGGGATGTGGTTAGCGGTATATTCGTGGTCTTTAAGATGATCGGTTAATAGAAAGAAATATTCGTCAATAAAACGAATTGTTCAAGATGTAAAAATTAGGTGTAAAATGTAACTGAAATATCTTTACAGAATATGAAAACAAGCTGCAAGAGACGTGAGA